TAGATATGAGAGAGAGAGAGAGAGAGAGAGAGAGAGATGTGGTGTACTTATCGATAGTGTATTATTCATAACCGGATTCTGTGTTTGAAAATTTAATGAATATAAGTTTGTTGTATTAAATAATTAATAATATTAATTATATGGTATTATATGGTAACAATTATGTGCCAAAAGAGTAATTATTATTAAATTATTCAAAAATCATCACTACATTACATATACGGCTATTGAGTTAATTGTGATGTGTATAAAATTAATTGAAATTATGTATAAATGTATATAATATTAACTGTAACATAATTTAATTTGCATTTTAGGGGATAATAAGTTCAATAACTTTTATATGATAACTTAAGCTTATTTTTGTGTAAAACTAGAATAAGTTTAACATTAACACTACATGTTTTATTTGTATAATAAATTATTATAAATTATATATTTTGATTGTTATTACAATAATAGGGAATACAGTATTGTTTGATTATTAAATTATTTATTTATTATCCATTAAATTACATATTATAGCAAATATCCTAAAAATATAAGGCACAATAAATTATTATTAACAATTACTTTATATTTATTATAGTTTTTAATCAATATACTTATTACATGAATATTTTATTTCTTATTTCTGTTATTTTACAAGAAATATAAAGTTATTATGATCATATTAACAAGTTTATTAATTGATAAAAAACAAGTTTAATAAAATCATTTTAAAAAAATATTTTAAGGATTATTAGATTTTAATTGAGTGCTAAAAGTGCAGAAAATGTACTAACGAGTAAGAATTGTAATATTATCTTGTTGTAATTACGCTCAATTAAAGTTCAGTACCGTTAGTGTCCCCAATCCGTTACTATCCCTTTAATTTAAAATCATAAGTTAGACAAAATAGTGGTAACTTTCAATTATTATCACCACTTTTCGAAAATTTTACGTGTATATACACTAACGGCATTAATCTGTATGTAGTTTGAAAAATTGTAACCAAATGTTATATAACATTGATTTGTGCAATTGTACTAAAAATATGAATTTTACAATGTCAAAGAACTAAAAATAATAAATTTGAATAATGTTAGTTGTATCGTTCAAATACACATCTCTAAAAAACAAGATTAAAACACTTTAAATTAAAGATCAAAGGTTTTGCTAACAACCGTTCATAGACTTCAAACCTAACAAAATATAATTCAATTATTACATTGCATTGTAATATTGATTTGATTGAAAAGCACTAAACGTTATATTGATTTGTTTACCACACGTTAAATAAGATTACATGTACGAAAAATTTTATGACAATAATATTAAGCCATTTAATGATAATGAAATCAATCACAAGAATTTAATACCACTTGAATTTATTATCAATTTTTTTTAATTTGCGATATAAGTCGACATTCAATCTTGTTTTTTGTCAGTTCCTTGAAGAGAGCGATTCCCACGAATTGCTTTAATATTAATTCTAATTAACAATTGTTTGACAAATATTTTACATAAAAATGTTATGGTTAGGTATTTGTCTGTTTTTGTTGGGCTCCACTCAATCGGCACCCGTAGGACCCGATGACCAGTACCAGATCGGCACTGGTATTGCAGATGTTACCGGGCCAGCAGCTGAGATCAATATGGTATTTATATTTAATAAAAACCTAATCGTTTATTGACAATTATTTTGTAATTTTATATAAATTTAATTTAAATTATGGACACAAAGATGGGTTACGCGAAGTTAGGTCAGGACACTAGTGGTATACATCTAAGACTATTCTGCAGGTCTGTGGTAGTGGTGGACAATATTGGCAACAGAATACTGTATATCACAGCAGATCTTCAGGGAATCGCACAGATTCTCAAAATTGAAGTAAACATTACTAATATTTACTCCTTTTAATTATTTTATTTAATTTTGAGAAATTTGAATATTTATACTATTAATAATAAAAATAATTTAATAACGCATTGCTTTACATTAAAATATTAATTTATTAATTGCATTAATTAACCCAAAGGTAGTGAAAGCACTGGAAGCTAAATACGGGGATCTCTACCATCACGAGAATGTATTAATCAGCGCAACGCATACCCACTCAGGACCGGGAGGTTTCTTCCAGTATCTGCTCTACATATTCACAACTGAAGGCTTTATAACCGATAGCTATCAGGATATTATCAACGGAATCCTTACCGTAAGAACCATTTTCCATATATTATAATTGTTTAACTATTTGACAAAAGTTTGACAATTAGTTTACAATAATTTGGATTTACATTTGGTTACAATAATTGAATGTTGTTTATTGTGGTAGAGTGTGGACAGGGCTCACAACAATCTGAAACCTGGTAATATCTATTGGAGTGAAGGAGAACTGACCGATTCCAGTGCTAATAGAAGTCCCGCCGCTTATGAAAACAATCCCAAAGAAGAAAAAGATAAGTGAGTAAACAATTGTCAAAATTGTAATAACAAAATGTTCATAAATTAAATTATTTTTTAGATACAAATACAATACCGACAAAACGATGAATGTCTTAAAGTTCACTGATCTAAACAATAAGCCGTTAGCGATGGTCAACTGGCACGCCGTCCATTGTGTCTCAATGAACAACTCAAACACATTGATTAGCAGTGATAACAAAGGATTTGCTTCACTTCTCATGGAGTCGGACTATAACGCCGGACAATTGCCCGGAAAGGTATACATTTGAGAGTATTTAAAGTTTGAACAAATAAAATAAACGACAAATACTTTCATTGATTTCCAAAATAGGGTCCATTTATTGCTATCTTCTCTCAAGCAAATGAAGGCGATTCCACACCAAATACGGCCGGAGCCCGATGTATAGATACAGGCGCTCCGTGTGATTTCATTACAAGCACTTGTCACGGAAAGGTAAATGTTTTAATTAATAAATATAAGTTTTTATAAATATTTATGAAATATTGTTGGACAGAATGAAAAATGTGTTGCTTTTGGTCCCGGAAAAGATATGTTTGAATCGACACAAATCATTGCCCGAAAACAATATCAAAAGGCCAAAGAGCTGTTTGAGGGCAACTCCCAGACCAAACTGAAGGGTCCGATTCAATACATCTACCAAAACATCGATATGTCTAACTATGAGGTCAAACTGCCCGACAATAAGACAGTCAAGACGTGTAAACCCGCTTTAGGTTATTCTTTTGGTGCCGGAACTACTGATGGAGAGGGGGCTTCAATGGTATGTATTTTACTATATATTATAGAAATTTAACAAAAATATACCAGATAACTAATCGTGCCTATTTGGAACAGTTCCAACAGGGGACACACGTCGGCGAAGAGCCCAAGTTCTGGGACTTTGTCCGCAATCTGATCACAACACCGACCAAAGAGATCACTGACTGCCAGAGTCCGAAAGCCATACTATTACCGGTCGGCGAAATGACTTTCCCCTACCAGTGGGCGCCGAATCTGATGCCAACCCAACTGTTGCGGATCGGAGATGTGGTGATAGCGGGTCTGCCCGGAGAGT